CACCTTGGTCTGGAGCCCCCACTCACCTGCTCCACCATCCCACTGTGTCTGACACCCACCATGTTCCACGCATGCCCCTGGTGGTCAGCGCACGTCATGGCGACTGGTTGTTCAGTTGTTCCACTGTTCGGTCTATTTGCATATTAGGGTTTTATATATATAGATAATAGTAGTTAAAAGGTACAAGTGTGTCTAACACACTAGGTACAAGTGTGTCTAATACATGCCAGGTGTTTACTAACATTATGTCTGTGCATTCTCATAGCAAGTCAGTGTGGTGGACAGTGAAATCATCTGTGCTTTAGAGATGATTAAAGTGCAGCTCAGAATCAATAAAGAGCAGCATCAAGGTGCTTCTCCTTGTGACGGGCAAGGCTGAGAAACAACGTTGGATTTTTCTCACTACCACACATGTCCTATCCATTTTTCCCAGGATCACAGCAGGATGGTGTCCAACTCCCAGATACGTGTGCACGAAGGACAACTTCCTTCCAGGAAGCAGACAGTTCCTGATTGCTGTGAACTTTTTTTGATTAAGTAGGCAATGGAGAGCCCTTGACGTTTTTGAGTGATAAGATTACATCTAATATGCTGTAATGGAAATGAACTTTGAGATAATTATTCTCTCTACTCTGGCTACTGTCTACAGGCTGCATTACACAGAGAGCAGTTAGGAGTTCATCGCAGTCTTCCAGTTGTGGAGTTATGACAAATTAGACTTGTGGCCCTAGAACTAGATACAAAAGATAAATAATTTAGGAGCTATTGAGTAGGAAAATAAATGATGGAACTTAAAGTCTCATTAGAAAAAAAATAAAAATAAATTAAATTAAAATATAATAAATAAATAAATAATAAAGATAAATAAAGTCTCATTAAATGCATTTTTGGGTTTGCCAGGCTTGGAAATGTTTGGGACGTGGCTTCGGGAAGCACTGTTCCAACACAATCGCCTGTTGTTTGTTTGTTTGTTAATCCTCACCCAAGGATATTTTTCCATTGATTTTTAGAGAGAGGCAGAAGATGAGAACTAGCTAAGACTCAGAATCAGAGAGGGATTAGTAAAAGCTCTTACTTGAGGCTGAGCCAGCAAACTATTAACTTAGGGCTCATTACATATTTTTTTTTTATTTGGTCCCAGAATCAAAAGCAGACCCGAACACTGCACAAAGGGGGCAAGTAGGTGTAGGTAGAAAAGTTGGAGAAAGGCAGTGAAAAGGAAACAGGCAGGACATTAGCCTCTTAGGTGCATACTATGGTTTCCTCATGTTTTATCAGGCTCATTTGCTCTATTTCTCTATTTGCACATTTATGCACATATATGGTACTGATCTCCTTTTCTTACCAGTCTACTCATACCTTGATCTTCCTCATGGCATAAGAACTTAATTTTAGTTATAGTATGTGATAATTCAAGACAGCATATTGTTGTTAGAAATTTAATAGCATTTCTTATAATTCAGAAGCACTGAAAATTTATTAATTTTATACTTGTTTCCTTATAGTACCACAATCTTTCATATAAGCATCCAAACCTTCAGTTGATTGAATATTAGGGGCTTAAGTATATAGCTGACTTCAGCTTTAATCTCTTTAGTAAGTATTTTGTGCAAGAAGTATGCTATCTGCCCAGAATTTAGCTAAACTTACTTTCTATTATAGATTAATTTTGCATGTTGACTCATACCTAAGTCTCCTATTTTATGGTTCATTATTTCCCTGCAGAATTTTGACCTCATTCTCCCTTGATCAGCTATAAATTATTTATTTTAGAATCTTTTTAAAAATTCTTGTGGTTAAAAGATTTTAGTAGTAAGACTACTTTCATCACTCAATAAAAGCTGCATTAATCTTCACACTGCTAACCTTCCCCCTGTATTATTTTTCTTAACAAAATAAAAATTTACTTGTGAGTTACCATAGCCCTCCTAATTCTCCTTTGGTAAAAATTTACTTATACACTTAGTCTTATTCTGATTTTTGTTAAGACTAATTACTAAGGAGAAATTCAAAAGTGAAGAACAACTCAACACTTCCCTTCTAAAAGCTTGTCCCCCTAATTGATGTATAAAAATACATACACACAAGAAACAAGAGCAATAATAACAACAACAATAATAAACATTCTTATGGAGATTTATAATTTTCAAGGGACATTCTCTTATTTGATCCTACAGTGATCCTGTAGGATGGATGTTATGATCATTTCCTATATATATATATATATATACATATATGAGAAAAACCAAATTAAAATGTTGAAATGACCTGACTAAGTTCCTTTAACCGTAACTGCAGTTTGAAATTGGTCTTCTAACTCCAAAGTCTACTGCTTACCACACTGACATCACTGGATAAATCCTCTAGACAAACAATCAGCAAAGAAACAGCAATCCTAAATGACTCACTAGATCAGATGGACTTAATTGACATCTTCAGAACACTTCACCCCAAAGCCGCGGAATATACATTCCTCTCAGGTGCTCATGGGACATATTCAAAAATAGACCACATATTGGGTCACAAGCAAAGTCTCCACAAATTCAAGAAGATTGAAATCATAAAAAGCTTCTTCTCAGACCACGATGGCATAATGTTAGAAATAAACTACAATAAAAACAACCCAAAATACTCAAACACTTGGAAGCTGAATAGCATGTTATTAAATATTGATTGGGTTACCAATGACATCAAAGAAGAAATTAAAAACATCCTGGAAACTAATGACAATGAAAACACAACAATCCAAAACCTATGGGACACAATGAAAGCAGTCCTGAGAGGGAAGTTTATAGCTCTACAGGCCTACCTCAAAAAACAAGAAAAAATGGTAGTAAATCATCTAACTCTACAACTCAAAGAATTAGAAAGAGAGCAACAAGAAAACCCCAGAGTGAGCAGAAGGAAGGAGATAATAAAGATTAGAGCAGAAATAAATGACATAGAGACCAAAAAAACAATACAGAAAATCAATGAAACCAAGAGCTGGTTCTTTGAAAGGATAAACAAGATCGACAAACCTCTAGCCAGGCTCACCAAGAAGCAAAGAGAGAGGACCCAAATAAACCAAATCAGAAATGATAGAGGCGAAATAACAACAGACCCCACAGAAATACAAATGATTGTTAAAAAATACTATGAACAACTCTACTCCAACAAACTAGACAACCTGGAGGAAATGGACAAATTCCTAGGAAAATACAACATCCCAAAACTCAATCAGGAAGAATCTAAAAACCTCAATAGGCCAATAAGACGGCTTCACAGGGGAGTTTTACCAAACATTCAAGAAAGAACTAAAACCTATCCTCCTCAGACTACTACAAAAAATTCAAGAGGAAGGAACACGCCTCTCAACAATGAAAAAATAGTGCATTATTCTCTGCTCCAAGTCTCCCACATTACCTAGCATTAGGATTTGAGGCACAGAGGAAGCACTCTAATTATAACACTCACTGATACTTTTATTTTCCAATGCTATAAGAAAAGAAAAAAGTATAGTGCACAGAAAAGTTGGGACTCTAACTTTAGACAAGGAGTGAGAACGGGATCTGTAACTAGAAGAAGGAGGGGACATTCGTGTGTGGGGGGTAAGAAAAGTAAAGCTCCAGTTTTAATAATAGGCATGTCTTATGCACGACAGCGGGAAAACTTCCTTACCTGAAATAAACGGCTCATGATGAACTGTAGACAAAAATGTTCTGAATCCGTAGTCTGGGGACAGATAATAGTGTTGAATGTTCCTGAATGCTAGGCTGAGGAACTTTATTTTATAGTTAATGGTGATCCCCTGGAGGGTTTTGTGCTCAGAAGATCAAATCACTGCTTTAGTCAGGTTTTTAATGAGCCTACAAGTATAGACATCAGCTAAGAAGCTGCTACAGAAATCCAGGCATGAGGTGATGAGCACCAGAGGAAGGGCCAGGGTGGGTGAGGAAGAAAAGGACAAAAGTGAAACAACTTTAAGTAGCAGAGACATACAATTTGGCAGCTGGTCAGAAATAAAGTAGGAAAAAATCGTCAAAGTTCTAATATTCATTTCTAACTTTGAATGTTATGATTGGCAACAAACATTGTTAGCTATTTTCCTTGAAGTGACATGCTCACTTCATTCATTTTGAGAAAATAAATGCTAAAAAGTAAAGTCTCAATAACCATCATTAGTCTGTTGTGCTTTTTCTTAAGACATCGTCATATTTCAGGATGTATCAGATTTCATCACACAGAATATTAAAAATACATGCACTCAAGAGTTGAAATTTAATAAAATTATTAGATTTCACTACTTCATAGAGGGCATACTTAAGTGACAATGACTTTTTTAAAACTGAGAGTGCAAGGTGGTAAAGGATTTAATAAGTATAATATTAGAATCAGTACTAATAGTGGAGCACAATGACTCCTAGTAATGCTTAACTAAATAATAGGCACATAATACCTTAGTCTTGTTATGAAAATGTTTTGCCTTGGCAACTTCCTGATAGGATTTGGGGACCTCTGGGTATCCATGTATCACCTTCTGATCACTGTTGCTGCAGAGCATCCTGATAATAGCTCAGGCTTACAGCTCCTCCTGTGTGCCAGGTCCCATTCTAAGCACTGAATTACTTTAAATCTGAATTTAACATATTTTCTTACTTCAATGACAAATGTAAATGTGCCAAAGTGGAAGAAGAAGATCGACTATTGTGCGGGGGAAAGGAGCCACATACTAAACCTGACAAGCTCAGGGGAGGTCAGCACAGCAGGCTTCATAAACTCACTGACCGAAAGTAGCCACATAGGATGGTCTGACATAAACATTCCTAACCAAAAGCTAGTCATGGTGGGTAGTCACGTCCTAGGTCTATAGCTTCCTTAACAAAGATCAGTATTTATATTCATTGGACTGTCTTTTGTCTTTCTACATTTAAGATAACATACCTTTGGAATGTCAGAGAGATCCCCTTTTCCAGACCCCTCAGGACACAATTTCCCACCAGAGCACAAGACCTCAGAACCTAATTTGTTATCTTGTTGCCCACATACCATCTATGTGCTATAAATGTGTATTGTCCTCTACTCACCAATGTAGAAGAAATACGTGTCTGTCTCTCCTCTTTATCCAATCTCAGAGGTTCCCCTGATTAGCTTGCTCCTGCCCCCTTAATCTACTACCAATGGATCTCATACCATTGTTTGGAGCTAACTCTCAATCCCAGCAATTGTTGTCAGTTTGGCTCAAGTAAACTTATAAAAATTCTCTACAGGTTTGGACGTTGCTTACACTGACACTATAATGTCATGAAAATACTTTCCAACAGAACACATTGAGTAAAGGCTCGTAGTAACTTGAAATTTAAAATATAAACATTTAAATGATATGCCCTGGTAAACGCTAATAACGTCAACATTTTGGGGATACTGTGAACAGAATGAAATTCCCCCAGTTCTTAACACAAATTCCTCCAATTGGCAAAGGGATTAACCAAAGGGTTTATAGAAAATTATGCCTACCTGGTGGCACAGCCATTTTAATCAGCTCCATTTCCTGTCTTCAAGATGTTTATGTAAGCTTACAATGAAATTCTAGTTCCAGCTTCCATATTTTCTTTAAGTGTTGCATAATGCAAATCACTAACTTTTAGGTGTTTTAGAGAATTAAAGGAAGAATTTCAAAGTGCATAAAATGATCTTAGATCTGTGTCCATTAAAAGAAAATCCAGAGCTAAATCAAATTTTGAAACTATTGGATTAGACGTTCCCCTATGGAAGTGTTTAATAAGTGAGCCTTTGATACTTTTGGGCAATGAAAGTAGAAAAGATTTTTAGATCCTATGGAGACATCTGTGTGTACCAATCACTCTAATCTATATTGTCTAGCCTATAAACAAACAAACAAATGACACACACACACACACAAAAAAAAACCAGCAAATAAAAAACTAATTTCTCTAGACCTAGTACTGTATTGTTTTGTCTATTTTGTTTACTAAGCATAGTTTCTGTTTTGTAAAACTGGTCTATAAAATTGGTTTAAATAATTTAGGATTATCCAGAGTTGGCAATACAGTGTAATTCTAAGACAGCACATTTATGTCTAGAACTGGTTGAATTACAAAAAAAAAACCCAGCAAATAAAAAACTAATTTCTCTAGACCTAGTACTGTATTGTTTTGTCTATTTTGTTTACTAAGCATAGTTTCTGTTTTGTAAAACTGGTCTATAAAATTGGTTTAAATAATTTAGGATTATCCAGAGTTGGCAATACAGTGTAATTCTAAGACAGCACATTTATGTCTAGAACTGGTTGAATTACAGGACAGTTTTGCTGTCATAGAATCTAAGAGTATAGGGTAAAAACGTGCAAGGGGCCAGGCCAATGTGGTTAAGTGGTTGAGCATTGACCCATGAACCAAGAGGTCACTGATTCCATTCCAGCCAAGGGCACATGACTGTGTTTTGAGCTCGATTCCCAGAATGGGACATGCAGCAGGCAGCTCAATCAATGATGTTTCTCTCTCATCTATGTTTCTATCTCTATTCCTCTCCCTTCCTCTCTCTCTGAAAAGCAATTTTAAAAATTATTTTAAAATGTGCAAGGGGTCTCAAACCAATTTTTAAACTTTCCCGCAGTTACCAACTTTCATTGTGATCTGAATGAAGGAACATAATGCGCCACTGGTCATTATAATGACAGATGGGAAAAGGCTTGTGTCAGAATAAATGCTGTAGGGTGATGACATACATTCTCTCACAGGTCAGCAGGGGGTGACACAGCACCAGCCTTCTTATCATTTAATAAGCTCCTGTAGTTGCAGAAGTCTTTAAATGAACAAAACATTCACATGAAATTCATCCATGACATCTGTGACTCTTCTCACTTCATTTCCTTTCATTCATTTAACGTTTTTATTTTTTTTATTTTCAGAACTACCTTCCCAGACATCTGTAGAAAATTAATATATTGCCACATAAATAAATTAGGTTCCTGGATCCAAATTCAACGTGTGTGTGCGTGCACCTACTCATAGTCTCTCCCACACCAACAAGCAATTCTCAAAAAACAGAAATTCGGTTGTAAATTCAAGTAAATTCTGACACTATCTACCCAGAAGACCGAATTAGATTCCACTGGTAAAGGACTCAGTCCCACAGGACTGCCTTTCACTTCAGATGCCTGTGCTTCTGACCAGCTGGTTACAAAGTGAAAGTTCCCATGACCCCTTCCTTGGGTTCAATTAATTTGCAAGAGTGGCTCACAGAACTCAGGAAAACCTATTTACTCACTCACTAGATCACTGATTTATTAGAAGGAATATTAAAGCATACTGATTATCAGCCAGAGGAAGGGCTACAAAGGGTCCCAAACAAAGGACCCTTTGTCCTCCTGGAGTTTGGGGGCCTGACACGGTGGAACCAGGCAGTGCTGTGGTTCCCCACCATGGAAACCCTGCTGCCCCCAACTCCCTCTTTTTAGGTTTTTATGGAGGCTTCATTACATGGGCCTGATTGATTAACCCATTGGCCACTGGGGTTTGGTTCAACCTCTAGCCCTTGTCCAATCCCAGGAAAACAGGGGATGGGACTGAGACGTCTAACCCTCTATGCATGGTTGGTTCCCTAGGCAACCAGTCTCCATCCATAGATGGTTTGCAAAAATTACCTCATTAACATAAACCCTGTGGCAGTGGGAAGTGCTTGTTATGAATAACAAGATACCCATTTCACCTTTAAGGCTCTGAAAGTTTTCAGGAACTGAGGACAAGAGACCAAATATTGCATAAAAGATGTTCCCTTTACTCTCATTGTGCAGGAAATTCCAAGAGTTTGAAAGAGTTTGGAAGCTCTAAGATAGGAATTGAGGATGATGACAAAATATATGTAAAATATACATTCATGTGTGTATATGTGTGTGTGTATATACACCAAATATTTAAAAGATGTTCCCTTTACTCTCATTGTGCAGGAAATTCCAAGAGTTTGAAAGAGTTTGGAAGCTCTAAGATAGGAATTGTTGAGGATGACAAAATATATGTAAAATATACATTCATGTGTGTATATGTGTGTGTGTATATA